CAGAGACGGACACTAGACAGAACACGACACCACAGACGGACACTAGACAGAACACGACACCACAGACGGACACTAGACAGAACACGACACCACAGACCGACACTAGACAGAACACAACACCACAAACGGACACCAAACAGAACACGACACCACAGACGGACACTACACAGAATACAACATCACAGACTGACACTACACAGAACACAACATCACAAACGGACACCAAACAGAACACGACACCACAGACGGACACTACACAGAACACGACACCACAGACCGACACTAGACAGAACACAACACCACAAACGGACACCAAACAGAACACGACACCACAGACGGACACTACACAGAATACAACATCACAGACTGACACTACACAGAACACAACATCACAAACGGACACCAAACAGAACACGACACCACAGACGGACACTACACAGAACACGACACCACAGACGGACAAAAGACAGAATACAACATCACAGACGGACACTACACATAACACGACACCACAGACGGACACTACACAGAATATAACATCACAGACGGACACTACACAGAATACAACATCACAGACGGACACTAGACAGAACACACATCACAGACGAACATAAGACAGAACACGACCCAACATATGGACATAAGACAGAACACAACACCACAAACAGACACTAGACAGAACACAACATTAGGACAAAAACAAAACAGAAAGAAGTTAGACAGAACGAGGCACCGCAGACAGACATTAGACAGAACAACACCACAGACAGACATTAGACAGAACGAGGCACCATAGACAGACATTAGACAGAACAACACCACAGACAGACATTAGACAGAACGAGGCACCATAGACAGACATTAGACAGAACAACACCACAGACAGACATTAGACAGAACGAGGCACCATAGTCAGACATTAGACAGAACAACACCACAGACAGACATTAGACAGAACATCACCACAGACAGACATTAGACAGAACAACACCACAGACAAACATTAGACAGAACATCACCACAGACAGACATTAGATACAGCGTTAGCACAGACGGATATTAGAAAGTAAACTACATGGCAGACGGACACTGGACACCACAAAATGGCGCTTGGTAGAATGAATGGAAGATGTCCGAGGTGGACGATGGAATTCGTTTTCATAGACTTTCCATTTCTGAGTCGGACGCACAACATTATAGCACGCAATGCCCCAGACGGAAGCTTGACAGTGTGAGCTATATTGCCAGACATGCGTTACATCTGCAGTTCTGCTGACACGTGCTGATGTGGTGGAAATCGACCAAACAAGGTCAAATGGACCACTGCCTACTTGATACAATTGTTAATATTGGAAATCCATACCAGGTAGATTTGCTGCAGGTGTTCATTAGAATCGGTATAGAAATCACTGTCTCTGAACAGTTCCAGGTAATTGTTTCATTATAATATGTGTAGTGTTGCACTGTTAAATTGTCTAAAGACATGCTCAGCCGCTATACTAGCGGGATTGTCACGTGTCGGCTGTAACATCCACATCCACATGACGTCACAATGTAGGACTGGAAGGACCGAACCTCCTACATACGGGTGACAGTTTCTCTCGTTACACCAGTAGGCCTATTACATTTCCTTCGTACCTATATGTACAGTGGCATTGTCGATTCATTCGTCATCGCGGAACTGTAATTTCTACTTTTCCATCAAATCAAAAAAGCACTTGGTACCAGAAGAATAGTGCCTGATTTGACCGTCACACCGGAAGAATAGCATCTGATAGGTCGGTATCCCGGAAAATTAGCGCCTGACTTGTCGTCGCACAGGGAGAATAGTGCCTGCTCTGTCGTCAAACTAGAAGAATAGTGCCTGACTTCCGGTCACACCAGAAGAATAGTTCTTGAATTCCGGTCACACCAGAAGAATAGTTCCTGACTTCCGGTCACACCAGAAGAATAGTTCTTGAATTCTGGTCACACCAGAAGAATAGTTCCTGACTTCCGGTCACACCAGAAGAATAGTTCTTGTATTCCGGTCACACCAGAAGAATAGTGCCTGATTTGTTGTTCCCCCTAGTCGCACTGTCTATTTTTTTCTCCCATACTTAAAATAAACATATACCAGTGTTCCACCTAGTCGCACTGTCAACGTGCAATAAGATACATGATTTTAGTAGCACCGTCTCTATAATGCATACTTTACCCGTTACTACGTAAATGTTTTGCATGATTTATACAAGAAGTGTAGTGACTATTTGCCATCGCACCGGAAGTACAGTGACTGGTTTGCCGTTACACCGGAAGTGTAGTCTCTGATTTGCCAGTCATATCGCAAATGCTTTGACAATACAATAAAATAAAATCAACAAAAGCAAGGAAATAACCACAGCAAAATTTAATATTTGTAAAATTGAGCTTATAACCTCATAATAACCCCCTCCCCCACCCACCTGCGACATCCGTATCACACTCTATATAATTGTAACCACAAATACATCATTACACGACCGAACTGAGAAAATCGCCTGATGAGTTTAAATTGTCTCCAGTTCTTCATTGGTATGAATATGAACTAAACCTGTATCCATTCGAAGTCCTGTCATACATGTATCAACCAACCAAGGAATCGCCTGGTTTGGTGCGGAAGTCTAAGCTCCTCGTTTACTACAGTCCGAAAAAATTGGCTACCCGCATAACTGTTCTTGTAGTTCGTAGTGACATTTGAATAACAAACGCACACACACACACCAACACACACACACACCAACACACACACACATGTTGACAATGTAACAACTGAACAGCGTTTTCAAATTACCCTTTCGCACAGGAAGCTCATATTTACGATATTATCAAAGATTTATGTAAGGTTTCGCAATGTATCTTGTGTGGTATTCACAAACCCAGTAAAGAAGTGACATCCCTCATTTCTGTGACCGTGTAAAATGTACTACATTATAAAATCATCTCTACCAGATATAAGACTGCCTAAGTCAAGACGTCAGCTGAAGTCACTAGGGAGGAACGTGACGTCAGCTATACGGGCGTTCTACGAGCGTGTGTAATGTTGGTATGGGGAAAGGTACTGCCGAACACTGTATTTGCATGCATAGACCATTCTGCGGTAAAGTTGTTTTCGTTTTTCTCGTTAACAGTGTAAACTATTGATGAAAGAGGTCTTTACCGCAGATACGGTCCCGTGTGTATAATCGGGACAGTCTGGTGTGGAAGCCACATATATTCAAGCATACGCCGTACGTGAATGCACGTGCGTTATCCGTATTGATATATATAAGCGCCAGTAACTGTTATTAGATGTTGTTGCTTTGATGCAAGGCGGAATTTGCACGGTTTGTGACAGCGCCTCGTTAGTATGGAAACAGGGGAAGCATAGGGGATATTAATACCGGGCTATGACGTAAGAACCTACACCTCACGTGATGAACTTTAACACAACCACCGACATCTAACCACTGCGCATGTGCTGTCTGTAATCTTACATATACTCTCTATTTTCGGACGGAACAGATATGACATACTGGGTCACTTATGCGATTTGTAGGACTTGTATATACACAAAATGACAGACGCAGGGCGCGGGAAACATCTAGAAAGAAGCTCTGTTGAGAGCAAATGTCATATATACAGCATCTACCATTTTACATATATAGTTTGTAGGAATGTTCGCTAAGTATGGCGGTGACATTTTTGTAGACAAGGGTTAGCCCGTGCATTGTGTAAATTAGTGGTCAGTTGATGAGTGTCTGTGACGTGTTGGGATAATTAAGCCGCTAATTACGGCTCTGAAGACAGCTGCTCCTCATCTACGCTTACTCAATAGCATTCCCTGATCAGACATTACAACAAGTGTTCATCATTTCCGCCAGTAATATATTGTGCACTCATTTTGTCATGATAAAGGAACAAGCGAATGTGTTAACTGTTGGTATGATTCGCCATCCATCAATGACGTTATATACTTTTATACGTATATATATACTTCCATTCCCATTGTGAACGTCCCTATTAGCTGTTGATAGGACGTTAAACAAAATAAAACCAACCAAGTCTCCAATGTGAATTCGTACATTTTTGGGGTATATGATACAATACAATACATCTCACAGTCGTTCTCGTCCCATCTCATTTTGTATGAAACTGTGTTGAAGAATATCTTATATATGAATCAGAACTCGTTAAAGATCGCTATTTCGTGTTTAAAATGAACGTTCTTGAAGAATGCTAAGAACCCTGGCTTGAGATGATTGATTATCATACTTATCTAACTATTTCAGTTAATTTAAGATGTATCTGTGAATGTATAACAACTCATAAATATTGTGTATTTCTATGTGTATTGCTGTTGCTATCCTTTATCATACAGAAGCGGGCTTGGTGTCACGTTTGACAAAAGCCGTGAGGGTTTACAGGATAAATAGATTGAATTGAATTGGCAGTACTCAACATGATTTTAGTTTGTGTTGTTCCAATTTATCGATTTAATCGAGGATAAGTAGTTTTCAGACCTAAAAACTGACTAAACAACCAATTTTATTGTTTTATAGTTTTACAATAAGCCGCATTCAAACAACATTTATGTCTGTAGCTAAACAGTTTAATAAAATCTCACACGGGGTGGTACATTGATAGGGGAATCTCAACACGAGGGTAACAGTCTGCCGAGTGCAGGTTGAGATTTTTCTGTACATAGACCACACCCATGTTTGATTATTTTTTCTCTCATACTTAAAATAAACATATACCAGTGTCAATACTCTACACGTGTTAATGTGTGTATGCCATGACAGGCGCACATGAATACAATTATGTTAATTTCATAGGAGTGACAAACCATGAACTTAAAATCAGAAATCCATTTAAAGCACAAAGTGACCAAACTTTTCATTTAATATCTAACAGCTGTAATATATCAGTTAATATCACTTATAAATAAAATAAAAAATCAGTAAACAAATCAGAACTATTTCTATCGCAGAGAATACAATCGGGGTCAGAATCAGGACAGAGGTCAAGTATGCAAAAGTGCGTCATGGCGTCATAGCAGTGGTATCTACCACCTCTTTCCGGTTTTGGTGAACGTTTCTGTAATTATATATTTTTCTTTCGTTTTATGATAGAACGATGATCGATCATGGATCGTTTGAGAAATAGTGATTATCAATAATAAATTTTGAAGTGATGTTCGGCACGAGTCTCTGGTTAATTGTACAGCTAGGTGTAGACGTGAACTGTCGGTTTTAGGAACATGTATACGAGTTTTGACTCCAAGGGCACAGCAACTTATTATAACCCGCCATATCAGTCAATAAAGAAATAGCAAACCATTCAACTTAGTGTGACGCAAGGATGGTCAGATTTCTTACCAATCCCATTCAAAGATAATTCAGGAGTTTTTTTCTTCTATATAGATTAAATCCAGGCATCAGATGTTGTGCTAGTTATATCCGTAAACAATAATTATGGCACTAAGGATATCGGCCCATTACAAATACACATGGTAAACATTAATGGAGTACAGCCAAACCTGTGGGCGTATACAGGTAAAGGTGGAGGTGTACCGAACAACATAGCTCTGACGAGGTATCAACAATATACATCTCTACCTGTCAACACTTTGCCCACTATAAATGTCTTCTTATGTAAATGGGATAGTGACGGTACAAAATGACTTAATGGCGGTCATTTACGTCTGCATTCCTCGATTTTATGTCACCAGATTTCCTGTTGATGTGTCCTTGTGTACCTTACCTTGTTTATTTATCAGTACACATGCCTTCTCGTAACAATTACATTCCCTTACATCAAAAGTCAGTCGTCACCATTCCATCACGGTATTTCATTTGACCTTTTTTGTAAAGTATTAATGTTCTGTCTGACGCTTCTCTACGTCACAATACAAGCGACAGAGTACATCACGGCCTTTAATTCACTGTCATCGTACCGGTGTTAAAACTATGTGCGCATCATATCATAAAAAAGCATATTGTCATATCGTTCCCTCCAAGATATATTTCCTAAAATCTGTATATATAACGATTGAAAACGTTTTGGGCCTTAAAGGTAAACGAAAGGCTGTTTTGTTTTTGTGTATTTCCACAATTGTAACGTTCCCTGGTTATACAATTTAATGTTTTTACAACTTACAAACGTCACAGGTGTGTAGATTATTTTAAAATGGTGAAATAATATAAGGTTCTACCGAAATCGCAAGTGGAAGTCAAGCATGAGTTATCGCTCTTGAAATCGAAAATGCTGTGACGTCATACATGACAATCGCCGATCGTATATAACTCCGATTATAGCGACAATGACGAAATCCCAGAGATGTCATTCTCTATAAATATCCACGTACCCATATATGTATGAACCCGAGACATCGAACAGTGACGATCATGTCGACTCAGATTCGTCAGATTGTTTTGAAGAACTGAGTCTCAGCAACCAGAGTGATGCAGACAGCATGGCTTCCAATCAATCTGTCGGAGAATGGTTAGTTTCTTTGTGAATTATTGCTCAGATTTCGATAAATGTATGTCAAATTGCAGTCACGATCATTTTTAGCTTCTGGTTACTATCATTTTTAAACAAACGTATTTTCCAATCGTCACGGCCAAATTGGAAAAAAAAATATTGTTGAGACCTAAGGGCCTGTTTGACGTAAAGCTAACTTACTGATCCTTGAAATCATTCCACAGCTTTGTTTTAGCAATCTGCATTGCTGTTCTTTCCTTTTAAACGTTATTTAATCACCAAAATTATACAATCGGCAATTATTTTTTGGTTTTGGATTTCGTTTACCTTTAAACAACACAACATCAGTACTGCACGTGCTGTTAATTGGCATATTTTGTATGACGTCATATCATTGTGACGTCTCAAAATGTGTGCAGTTGTAAAACGGCGTCATATATTACGTCACCATAGTAAGTGATTGGCTCAGATGCAGAAGACATGAATGTATCTACTCAGCAGTTTGGGTCGGTTTTATTTATAGTAGTGTACTTCAATTCCATGTTTGTACCATGCAGCTTCTACAGGGATAGAAATAGCAAAGGTAAGGTCGTGAAATATGTTTTTATTTAATTGGTTTGGGGTTTTTTTAATTTCAGAGCTGACTGTCAAAGGATTGTAAAATCCTAATTTTGTCAGAATTATTCTACAGTGTACTGTATGTAACTGTATCTATGGGAAAATGTAAATGATCCAAGTTGGCGACCAATTCTCGCAAAGTACCAATTCTGGCCACGGCATGTGTATCATACGTACAAAACTAGAGTTGGTCTTAGTAATCATACCTTTTTTACCAGTCAGCATTCCTGTTTGACCGAGATATATACATTGTTGTCGTTGAACGTCGATCAGAAGCTTGAGCTTGTAAAGACGTCTAAATATCCTCTTCTGACTTGATACGTTGCTGGCAAAACAGCCTGCCATCAACGGAATTCGGTTGCGCAGGGATTAAAACTATTTACACTAAATCAAGCTTTTACACTATATTTTATTGTGAATACCTGTTTATTATAACAATAAATTATGTATGTTATATATATACACTCAAATTTACTATGGGGAGTAACTAACATTTTAGTGGTATTATGTTTGTTACCAGGCGCGTAACAACCTATGTAGCAAAAAAGCCCGGGCTTACACATCATTTTTGACAAAATAAAAAAAAATATAAACGCAACATAGACTATATGATATAACATATTAAAAAGCAATGACAGATGTTTTGTATCTGCTATAAAAACCGCCAACTAAAATGCTTCGTTACAATCAAAGTCTCTAACAAATGTAGAACTGAGGGTAGCATATTCATTCGGCATGGTAATCGCGCCAGTGAAACTCTAGTCTTGCTAACTATCGGTGTACCCAAACACTAACTCTAGTTTTCCCCGTGAAATAAAGTGTTTCTAAGGTGTGTTTTTTTACCGCTTTTATACGTATAAAGGGAACAATATGGTTGGTAGCCTGGCTTCTATTATTTGACATTGTAACTGTGTCAGTGCAACTCTAGCTATGCAAATTATTGGTATACACATAGTACTCACTAGCCCCCCGCCCGCCCCCCGTAAAATAAACTGTTCCTATGATTTTTATCCCCTTTATTAATACAAAATACATATGGAATGGTAATAAACCATGGCTTTATATTTTACACATTGACCAGTATATCGGTTCTTATGTACATAATGTTAAACTATTCCTAGTGCAAGCTTGTGATACTAGTCTCATATCCCTGCGCAACCGGAGTCACAGTCGCGAGGAGAAACGTCACACTCTTACAACAACTATCCCAAAATCCACATGATTTTAGATTTTTCTTTTCCGTGGAATAATGTTACCGAACTCCATAATAGAATTGGCGTAGATGAGTACCAATCCCTACGTACCCAAAAATAATAGGGGAAAACGATATTTTCTTGCTTTAAAATGGCCATTAAAACTGACACCAGAACAAGGGAGAACGCGTCTCATGTGTTCTAGAAAACAAAATTATCCTGGGGGAGACCCCCCAGACCCCCACCAATGGGAGGGGGAAAAAAAACCTCACATACCCTCCCCCTCCTCGCGCTACGCGCTTCGGGGTGCTGCCTTCGGCAGCACACTTCATCATGGGGCTTACACATTGAAAACCCGTTTGTTACGCCCCTGGTTACCGTTTCATTTCTTTTAATGTTAGAGATCCCATGTGGTTCATTAATGATAAAAGGAAGGACAGAACTTCCTGGGTTGATTCCTCCACAGCCCAGATAGCAAGACATTGTTGGGCCAACGGCGCGATGCGACGATCGCATATCGACGTTGGCCCAACAGTAAAGTTAAGCTGTATAGCCAACGATCGCATCCCGCCGTTGGCCCACGGTCGGAAATTAACTGATCATCCAACCATAGTCTAACGGATATCCGGTATAGCCTCATTCTGAATGCAGCTAAGCGGGAGAAATTGAAAGCGGGTACGTGTTGCAGTGTCTTGACAAAAGTAAGTTACTGATGCATCGGCAATTATCTACGAGTAGGATGAAAACGTGTAAATGATAAAGGTGAATATAATCAAAGATCTACATTATATTTTCAGTGACAACTCGTTTTTAAATCACTTCAATTTTAATTCTGGTTGTTTAGCCTCCTGTTCGCACCATCTGCCCGTGTGACATAATGGCATGCAGAGTGATGAAAATCGTGATTGGATAATTCCAGATCCCGATTTGCATATTTACAGGGAAAGGAACTCGCTAAACTCCATATTTTAAACAGACAGAAATGCCTTCAGACAATGGCCCAACATAATTTTCTGCCATCAGTAGCCCAACGTTGGGCCAACGGACAAAAAAACTGTTGGGCCAATGTTGTATGCCTATGTTGGGCCAACGGTACATTTTCGTTGGGCCAACATTGGCCCATCGGCGGTGTGCTATCTGGGAGTGTGTTTAAGTTTGACTTAAACTCGTTTAGTGTTTTTGACGACACAGTTTCCTCGGGTAGACTGTTCCAGACCTTAATCACTCGTTTACTAAAGACATTCTCACTAGTGTTAAGCTTGAAAGGTTTCTTGAATATTTTTTTAGAGTGACCTCTAGTGATACTAAGTGATGTAGGACGAACCATTCGCCCATAGCCTAACTGGTCGATCCCGTTCAATATTTTGTACAGCTCAACCACATCTGCCCTCTCACGCCTGTATTACAGAGATGGTAGACTTAATGTTCTTAGGCGTTCATGGTAGGGCATATTCTGGATTTCTAGTACTCTTTTAGTGGCTCTTCGTTGTACATAATGAATTTTAGGGTGTTGTCAAAGTGAACTCTAAGGTCCTTTGCTGTGGCTACTTTCTCTATTTCTGTTGTTTGTCCGTCTTGCGTCAAATAGTATTTTGATGATTTGGGGTTGTTACCAATCTCCATATGTACGCACTTCTTGGTGTTTAGCTTCATGAGCAAGCTGTCAATCCAGTTACTTATTTTTTTATGTTTATTTTAAGTTGTTGTCTTTCAAATTCTGTTCGAGGTTTTGAATAGAGTTTGGTATCGTCCGCAAATAGTTTGGTTATACAGCTGAGCAGTTCAGGCATGTCGTTGACAAAGATCAAGAATAGTATCGGGCCAAGGACGCTTCCCTGGGGGACTCCACTCGTGACTGGAAGACTTGAGGATTTTGCTCCGTTGATTATAACTTGTTGGGTAATGTCTTTTAGGAATTCCTTAGTCCAGGCCAAAATGTTACCTCTGATATCATATTTATAAAGTCTGTATAGTAGTAAGCGGTGGGACACTTTGTCGAACGCTTTGCTGAAGTCGAGGTATATGATGTCCACATTGTTCCCATCATCTAATGCCTGTGTCCAGTCTTCAATGACCTCTAGTAGTTGAGTGGTACAGGAGTGGCCACTTCTGAAGCCATGTTTGGGGGGGG